CACACACACACACACACACACACACACACACACACACACCAGCTGGGCCTGCAAACTCAGGCTGTCTATCACACAAACAGCCTTCCTGTCTTCAGGGGTTTCCAACATTAGAGGACGCCGAGCCGTGGTACTCAGCTGTGATATAAGCCCATTTTCTCCTCTTCCTCTGCCTCTAGACTCCTCTCACTGACTCTAAAAGAGGTTGTATATCTCCTCCCCCACCCCCACAGCATACCTTCATCCTTTCCCCTGCATAGGAGAAATGTCTGTTCATCAAAAGGCATCCCAAGCTTAGCGGGGGCACCCTGGAAACACTCCTTTATCACCAAGGCTGCAGTACTCACTGTCTTCATGCATCTGCTTCATAGAGCACATTTGAGCTCCAGAGCTCATCAACAAGCTGTTTATACACACACAGAGGCACACATGCCTGCCCCATTCCATTGTGAATGGAATATAGGTAAATTAATATGCAACCCAAACATTCTCTGGTATCAGAATAATTTAGAATAAATTTTATCTAAAACAGTTCTTTGGTATACATATAATTTTACTAATTATTAAATACAGAAGTAAATCTGCATAGCAATGAGATGTATATACTTTTTCTTTTCAGACAGGGTCTCACTATGTAGACCAGGCAGGCCTCAAACTCACAACTCACAAAGATTTTCCTGCCTATGCCTCCCAAGTGCTAGGATTAAAGGTGTGTGCTGCCACAACCAGGTACTTGTTTATTTTTATGTAAAGAATGAAATCTTTGATACTGAAGGACAAAGAGGATCTTCAGCATTTTTCAGAATTGATTGATATTTTTATTTTATAATAATAAATGTTGGGAACACTTTCACATAAATGTATAGTACAAAATATCAGCAGTCTATTTGTTTATCAAAATTTTCTGGAAATTCTGCCTTAGTCTCAAGCCAAAAATTCATTTCAGGATTCTTTTAAACTGGAACTCAAATCAGCAGTTCTTAAAATCAATCTTTCTAATGGAGTTATATACTAATTTAATACTACCATGCAAACAAATGACTAGGAAATATCTGAAGTCTTTTCCATAATCAAGCTATTCTGTTTTTATAAAAGCAGAGAACTTTGTACAGTAAAATCACTGCAATTCATACCATACAGCAGTCTCGAACCTGAGCCAAGCAGGTTCATTGGCTTTGCATGCATGGCATGATGGCATGCACAGCGCAATGGGTAGGTTGTATGTTCAGAGCCAAAGCTACATTGAGCATGGTGGCACTCTGGAGGCTGAGGCAGGCAGATCTCAGCGAGTTCCAAGCCAGCCTAGTCTACATGGTATTTTTGATTTTTAATTAATTTTTGGCTATTGCACATCCAGAAACTTTTTACTGTTGCCAAATTTTTCACAACCACCGGATTCAGTTACACAATCCCATCTAGTATGTGCTCCCCGGGTTGAAAGGCTGTGGGTTAGCCATTTTCAGAAATGCCATCTCCTCGCTTCTTTGCACGTGGTACCAGCTTTGATGTCTCTGCTATTCGCAGTAGGGGCTGACATGGCTGAATGCACAGAGCAACGGGGAAAAAACAACCAGGAAGGGAGGACTGGCCTTCCAGAGGCAGCATCATTGCTCTTAGCCAGCTGTGGAGGGGACTGATCAGGAAAGCACAGCATCCCTTCCTGTCTGAACATCAGATGTGAGGGTGTGGGGAGTGAGCAGCACCACACTGATGCCACACCCATCTTTGAACATCCTTTCTCAATGATCAGCGTATTCTCAGCCTTTGTCTTTCTCTCCCATGTAAAGAGACAGGACTAGAAATACAGAGAAGTTAAAGAATTCTAATTGCAATTAATTCATCAGAGATTTGCTGAATGATCTTTTAAAGATAGTTGTGGCCCCTTTGTTTCTTTCTTTCCTTCCTTCCTTCCTCCCTTCCTCCCTCCCTCACTCACTCACTCACTCACTCTTTTCCTTCCTTCCAAGAAAGCTCTGCCCAGGGTCGTCCCTCCTGGCGGTCCTGGTTGGGCAGGTGAAATAGGAGGCACTGAACTCTCTTTTGTTTGTGGCTTGATGCAGGGAGCTGGAAAGGCTGGCCAAGGAGATGCACGAGAAGAAGCTGCAGCAGGAGCTGGAGCGACAGAAGGAAGAGGATGAGCTGAAGCGAAGGATCAAAAAGCCTAAACAGGGCCCCGCGAAGGAGGAGCCACCCCTAAAGAAGTCACAAGCTGCCACAAACAAGCCGGTAGCAGCCCTTACTTGCTCCTTATTGAGAAGTAAAGGGACCCCTACTGTAACCTGCAAACCAGCCCAGTGTCCCTACCCTCCAGAACCCCGACTAACCATGTTACGGTTATATGGATACTATGGTAGGGCAGGAGGTAGAAGGACCAAGCCCGGTGCTATAAGCACTGACTCTATGTAGATGCTGAGTTTGTGTTTTACCTGGTCATGCATTTTAACATTCCATGCATTCTGAAGGACAGTGGTCCCCACCTGCAGTTCACAGACAAAGCCAGAGTCCCAGAACCCTGTCCAGGAACGTATTATCATAGTCTTTGCTCTTCCCTTTGCCAACCTATCCAGTCAAGAGAACATTTGCTTACTCCCATAAACAGTCTTGCCACTATTTTACCAGTGGGTACATCTTGCCTAACAGGTCATTTGTAGCATGCAGTCCATGCTGGGTAAGATCACTGATGTCTTTTCTACCCCAGCAGCACCTTAGGACACATTAAAAGACAGCCAGTGAGGAGATAATTATTCCCTGATCAATTTGGGTTTGGTTTCTCTATGTCTTCAACTAAAGTATGTGACATCTTAGCCATAGCATCTTCATATCTATTTATGATAGGCAACCAAGGGCAATGGCAACAGTCTTCCTTATTTTGGGTGCCTCTAGTTCCTCACCAAGCAATACCTCCATATGTTATTGGGAAAAATCAATCTATGCCAATTTATCATCCCAATTTTTTATTTTTAATTGCACATATATATACATATATATATATATATATATATATATATATATATATATATATATATTTGTGTGTGTGTGCACACCACCATGCCCAGCTCAAGACAACCTTTAATAACTTTAATAACTTTTCAATAACCTCCATTATTTTTCAATTTTGTTAGAATTTTTTTACTTAAAAAAATAATTAATTAATTTACTTAAATAAATATTTTCAAAGCCTAAGTGTGACTAGATTCTAAACTCCCATTTGTCCCCAGAAATACAATACAAAGCTGTGTAGTTTTAATAACTTCACACTAACAGAACCCTTACTCTATGAGAGGCACTGTTGGAAATTACTCATACGAATCTGCACACTTGGTCGTTAACAGTCCTTTGACATACTTGTTACTATCACCATTATACAGAAAGGACTAAGTTGTTGGCAGGGTCACAAAGCTGTAACACTGCTGGAATTGAACCATCACCCTCTCTGATCACTCCCGGGGCATCTGAAAGCATATACAGAAAACCCGCTTCGCTGGCCTTTTCCTATTGGTCCTTCAGTTCAGCAGCTCTGCAGCAGGAATGTGTGCTAAAAATGCCTGGGTACCTATCTCAAAATTCACCAGGCAGAGCCCGCATCAGCAATGTAAAACCATGAGGCAGAAGTTCCGATGAAACTTCCCACCATACACACAAAGTGATTCCCAAACTTACTGTACCTAGGGAGGTACCTGAATCGTAGGCCACTTGGTGAAGCAAGATGATCCCTGGCTGTCCGGCATGCAGTTTTGCTTGTCTTTAATAAGCTGTTGGGTGCATAATTCATGTTTTGTCTTCTAGGTTCTTGCTGCTGCCAAGTTTGAAATGAAGATGGAATCGATAGAGAGGAAAATTTCTGTCAGAGATCAACCAACAATTGAAGAGTCCTCCAGGAGAAAGAAACACACTGACTATGGCTTTGGATTTCCTATTACCCAGGAACAAGAGGACAGTGAGAAAGACTTCCTGAAGGATACCGACAAGATGCTGGCACAAAGGTTTAAAGTCTACGACCTGTGTCTGAAGGATATCCAAAACATCCTCACATACTGGGACCGCAAGCAAGGGCTCCAGATGCCTCACGCAGGCATGGAAGAGGTGCCCCATGAGCCTGATGACCAGCGCCAGGCTCCATCAGGTGGTGGTGGGCGCCGGGGCCGCAAAGACCGGGAAAGGGAGCGCTTGGAAAAGGAAAGGGCGGAGAAGGAACGCCTGGAGAGGGAGAAGGCAGAGAGGGAGCGCCTGGAGAAGCTGCGAGCGTTGGAGGAACGAAGTGACGAAGTGGAAGGGGAAGTGGAAGAGGAACATGAGGGGAAGAAGGACCTGGGGGTGCCCTTTATCAGCATCCACACTCCCGACTTTGAAGGCACAAGCTGGAAGCAAGCCCTGGAGAGCGACAAGCTTCCCAAAGGAGATCAGGTACAAAGGCTTCTGTGGGGTAAAACAAAATGAGGCTTGGAGGCTGGGCTAACTAACATAAACATGTTTCTTTGTATTGAAAGTTCATATCCCCTTCAATGGATCTCTGGTGCCTCCTTACATATGCAACAATGATGCCTAAAGGGACCTTTTGTAATCCATAGACAGTCCCGCCAGTCTATTCCATCTATCTGGCCTCATTAAAAGGCATCTGTACAATAGATCATTAATATTGACAACACTAGCACCCAGGGGAATAAGAGATATGTTTTGGAGTCAATCAAGAGACTTGTCCATTCCAAAATTTCTTTCCCACATGCTTCCCATTGGGATGAGAATTAATCTACTAGGTAGCCTTTCACTACTACCAACAAAAGTATTGTGCCTTCCAAACTACCCTCAACTGGTGGTTTAGGAGGAGGATATGGATATATATATCTGGAAACTAACTTTTTCTGTAGAAGATTAGAAAGTAAAATTCTAGGATAAAGGTCATGCATTCTTCCAACAACCACTCAATTCAGCCTTTGGAAGGTGAAGGCAACCAACAAGATACAGTGGACATGGCCATGTTCCGATCTTTTATTTACAAAAGCAAACAGCAGGCCAGATTTGTCAGAGAGTGAGCAGAGCCACAGTTTGCTGACCTCTGGTTCGTCAGAAACTAGGTAGACTCTTCAGAAGAACAGAGACATCCCTAGAGGGATGAACGGCAGGGAAGAGTTGCAGGAGGGGAAAGCAGTTCTTCACACAGACAAGTTTATGTGTGAGTGTCCTTGCTGTTATTCTTGCCAAAGCGGGTCCAGGGCAGGCTGAAGAGCACACAACACTCCCTCTACTCAACTCACAGTTGTGTTTCAGGCCAAGCTTCAGTGAAGAGCTTGGGAAACTCTTTCCTTTTGTCAAGAACATCTTCTTGTATAGTTTCGTACCTCGACATTTGGACCCATAGGTTGGTTAGACTGTTAATTTAATAACTGGTTTCTGACTTGAGGCTTTCTTTGTGGACACTGTAAATCCTAGGAAGCAACTCCAGTTCCATGTTAGGATGCTCTGTGGTCCATGGGACGCGATGCAAATTACATGGAGGTCTTGACTTGGTAGGCCTACAAGACTGCTAAGTCCACAGAACAGGCTGCAGCCTTTACTATTGCAATGGCAATCTCGACGCTGAGTACTTATTCCAAGGACTCCTGCAAACTGGGAGGGAACTTACTGTCCTCTTTCCAGCCCTTGCTTTGGAGGGGACCCGTGTATTACAGAGCCTAGAGAGGGAAAATCCAGAACCTTTGCTTTGTTTGATAGGTTTTTCTCTTTGCTGTATATAACCTGCCCCCAACCCAACTTTTGTTTGTCTTTGGAAAGAAGAACATCTAAAGAAAAATGAACATGCCATATGAGAATTAATGAACCAGATCTATGCTACAGATGTCTGAACCTTAAGAACTGGTCTGTTTAAATTAAACAGCCCTGTGGAGGGTTAGGCCATCTGCTGTATCAACCTACTTCCTGCCCTAATGAGGTTTATAGTCTTATTTGCAAAGACAGCCAGATTGTCACAATAAAGTGTGACAAAGGCTATGAGAAATGCAGCGCACAAACAGCCCAGGCAAGAGCCTCCAGGATGGTCTGGAAAGCCTGGCTGAGCCATTCAGAGGCCCATCCTTCCCTCAGAGTCTCCTGTGAACACTGATAGCAGGGAAGGTTGCATGGGCCACCCTTGTTCCTTCTGACAGGGACATAGCATTGGTACACAATCGGCACAGGAAATTAATACAAAGCTTTTCATTTAGATCCTAGACATCCTAGGCCTGGGGTCCTCTGGACCACCCATCCCACCTCCTGCCTTGTTCTCCATCCTCTCTTACCCACCGAAGAGGCAGTCTTTGGTGGCCACTGAGGTCCTGAAGCACTTTGTGTTTGTGATCCCACCAATTGATGACCCCACCCTGCTGGACGAGAAAAAAGAATTGGAAGGGGACTCTGACCTCTTCCTCAATGCCATGGTAGCCAAGGTAAGGAATCGTCAGCTGGTCTTGAACTTGGCGGGGTTCATAGGACAGGGGAGGAAGGCCACCCCCACAAGGCAGCAGTCTGGGTCTGATATGAGGCTTGTTTCTCTCCTGCCTGAGGAGCCTCTGTGGATTCCATCACTGAGTCTTCCACTCTACCTGAGAGGGGACTGAAAATGACTGCTGCTCTTCGTTTCCAATCTCCAGGGGACAATTTATGAAATAGATCACATTACTCTGAAGCTCATATGCAAGAAAATGGGCAAAATTAGTTGTTTAGTTGTTAATGTATGTGTTTTCATAACAAGTGGTGGGGTCCGTCACGCGCTTCTGTGCAGCTGAATCATGTGCGCTGGGCACACTCCCCATGATCCTCCTGCCCTCTCCTCCAGTCCCCTTCCTCTTCCCAAATAGCGCCCCTTCTATTTTCATGTCATATACGTGTGTGTGTGTGTGTGTGTGTGTGTGTGTGTGTGTGTGTGTGTGTGTATAATCTAGGCTCTACATATGAGAGAAAGCATGAGGTATTTGTTCTTCTGGTTCTGGCTTTTTTCACATAATAATCTCTGATTCCATTCATTTTCCTGCAAATGACGCAATTTCACTCTTTTTTATAGCTGAATAAAACTCTGTGTGTGTGTATGTGTGTGTGTGTGTGTGTGTGTGTGTGTGTGTGTGTGTGTGTGTTATTTTCTTTTCCCATTTGTCTGTTGCTGAACACCTAGGCTGACCACATAACTTGGCTATTATTAGTAGTGCCACAAGAAACACGGATGAGCAAGTGTATCTATACTATGTTGACTAGGTTCCTTTGAGTATATTCCAGGATGGATATGTAGTTGGATCATAGGTTTTTTTGTTGTTGTTTTTTTGTTTGTTTGTTCATTTGTTGAGGAACGTTCATACTGATTTCCACAGAGGCTACAGTAGTTCACATTTCTGACAGCAGTATGAAAGGAATCTCAGTGTAGTTTTGATTTGCATTTCCTTGATGTTGAGAGTTTGGGTTTTTTTGTTTGTTTGGTTGGTTGGTTGGTTGGTTGGTTTTTTTTTTATGTTGTGTTTTAAAAATGGAGAGCAATGGTCTTAGCGGGTGGGAGCCTGGGGACACGGTGGAAAGTCACTCACACCATGCAGATGGCGCTCACTAGAGGATTTTATTAAGGGAAGGGAAGAGGGAACGCAGAGTGCACCTCTGGAGATAAGAGAAGATGGACAAGGGGAAGAGAGGAGGCGCAGACACAGCCCCGGGAGCAAAGGAGAGAGGGATGTAATAAGGGGCCTTGGCGCATGCACAAATGGGCTGCAAATGCGGCTACGTAGGATGGTGTTGTTAGGACCCTGAGCAGGCCAAGGTACTGCCTGTTTACTGGCAAGATTTCCAATGAGCCTGGCCAGATAATGTCTAAATGCTAACATTTTGTTCTTGTTTTTTAAAACATCAACCATTTGTACTTCATCTTTTGAGAAGTAACTTTCATTTCATTTGCCTGTTTATTGATTGACGTTTGGGGGAGGTATTTAATTTCTGAGTTTTTCATCTATTCTAGATATTAATCCACTGTCAGATACATAGCTGGCAGAGATTTTCTCATGTTCTGTGGATGAGTCTTCACTTTGCCGATGGCTTCTGCGCTGTGCAGAAGCTTCTGGTTTCAGGTGATCCCATATGTTAATTCTTGAAATGATTTCCTGAGCTGGTGGAGTCCTTCTCAGCCCCTGCCTATGCCTGTGTCTTAAAGTGTTCCGCCTATCTTTTCCTCTCTTGTGTTTCAAAGTTTCAGATCTTAAGTTAAAGTTTTTGATCCATTTTATTTATTATTTATTTATTTATTTATTTTTTGGTGAAAAGATAGATGGAGTGTCATCCCTTTACACGTGGGTACCCAGTTCTTCTATCACTGCCCAGTGAAGACGCTACCTCTTCTCAATAGATGTTTTAACATGCATTATATATTTAACAAAAGTAGAAGACTTATTTCTTGGTCCTCTATTCCAGTCTACCAGTCTGTGTGCCTGTGACCAGCTCTGTAGTATAATGTGAACTCAGGGGTGGTGATACCACAGCATTGCTCTTTTTTCTTCGGCATTGCTTTGGAAATCCAGGACCTTTGTGCTTCCATATGAAATTTAGGATTATTTTTCTGTCACGTGACTGTTGTCATCGGAATTTTGAGAAGAGCTGCATTAAATCTGTAGATGCCTCTTGGTAGTGTGGCCATTTTCACAATATTAATTCTGCCCATCTATGAGCATGAGAAGTCTTCTTGTATTCTAGTCTCTTCTTCAGTTTTTTTCTTCAACTGAAACTGGCTTATAATGTTGATGTGTGTATATATCAGTGAGTGTGAATGTGGATATAATGTGTGTGTGTCAGTGGGTATGAGTGTGAGTGTGGGTATAATGTGTATGTATCAGTGGATGTGAATGTGGATATAATGTGTATGTGTCAGTGGGTGAGAGTATGGATATAATGTGTATGTGTCAGTGGGTGAGAGTGTGGGTATAATATGTATCAGTGGGTGTGAATATGGATATAATGTGTGTGTATCAGTGGGTGTGAATATGGACATAATGTGTGTGTCAGTTTGTGTAAGTATGAATATAGGCTAGGAAATCAGAAAGAAGACCACTAGAGGGAAAAAAGGTATTGAGGAAGAGCAACATGACATATGAACGTGAAGCAGAAAAAGAGGTTATGGGGAGGGGATCTAAGTGTACTGGGGTGGTCAGGGGTATGAGGAAGAGGAAGGAGAATCAGCAAAAACAGATTTTGTTTGAAAATGCCATAATGAAACACAATAGCGTGTATGCTAGTTTTGAAAAACTGACTCTTTTCAAAAGGTACAGAGATTTGTTCTAAAACTAATGTAAATCACAGTATAAGAATACAAAGATGATGGGTTAAGGGAACACATGCCACCAGGGAATAGTTAGATTATTAAATAAATCATGATGGGAAGATTGGATATTATGCATGAAGTCACTTTTTGGTTGTGAGCCTAGCCTTTAATGGCTGAGCTATCCCTCCAGCCCATGAAGTCACTTTTTAATCCCCTTGCCTAACAATACGTGAAAATAAATTTAAGTTGAACTAACTTTTTTAAATTAACAAAATGAAATCATGTAAAAATAAAAGAAATTATACATACAATTCATAGGCGAAATCTCTGAAAGAAATAGATTTGAGCAATAATATGTTGATTATATACATATTAAAATTATACTCGTGGCCTTTTATCCCAAGGGAAGAATGGTGGCCCAGCATTTTAATCCCTTTGCATATGCTTGCCCCGGGAGCCATCCACTGCCCAGCAGGAATGAAACCATCTGTAGGCCCTGCCTGCCTCACAGTGAGGCTCTAGCCCATGCCCAGTCCCAGGGAGGAAATCAGTATGTGGAGTGAGCAGCCTTTGGGGGTGCCTCCCCACAGTAGAGTGCCCAGTGGTGGCACGGCTAAGAAAAGATAGAGAGGGGAAGTTGACCCCATCATCAGAAGTGGCTACTGCACCAACCCTCTTCTTCAGAAACAATTTAGCAATCTTTAACCTGTCGTTTTAGGAGGAACTCTAGCTCTCTTACCATTGACAAGGAAAACTTTATTCTTAGGCTAGAAGAATAATAGCTGAAAATATGAAAATGGTGGTAGAATTAGAGCATCATGTTTGGACATATATGAGAGGAACTCGGTTAAAATTTGCTATAGAAATGTCGTAACAAATGTAATATGATAATCTATAATATATAACCACTTGGGAACTGTCTTAATTACTTTTCTATTCCTGTAAAGAGACACCATGACCACGGCAACTTATAAAAGGAAACATTTAATGGGGGGCTTGCTTGCACTTTCAGAGGGTGAGTCCATGACCATCATGGCTGGGTGCATGGCAGCAGATAGGCAGGCATGGCTCTGGAGCAGTAGCTGAGAGCTTACATCTTATCTGCAAGTTAGAGACAAGGAGAGAAAGACTGGATCCTGCATTGGCTTTTGAACCTCAAACCCCAACCCCAGAGACACACCTCCTCCAACAAGGCAACACCTCCTAATCTTTCCCAAAACAGTTTCACCAACTGGGGACCAAACACTCAAATATACGAGGCTATGGGGCCATTCTCATCCAGAGCACCAGAGGAACACATAACTATAAAAATGCATGCCTAAGACACACAGGGAAGTATTATGTGCATTGTGTGCATGACAGGAGGGATTGCTCACATCCTTAGCTCTGATTGGCTCCATTGTGTGGTGCAGGACACAGTGCTTGTTCTGAGGAGACATGAGCTGAGCGACTTAGGAGCCAAGTGTCAGGTTGGTGGGATCTGGAGTCATGGGTGAAACAAGCCTCTGGGCATGTGAGGAACTTTCTAGATTAGGTTAATTGGGACGGAATGTGGGCAGCACCATTCTATTGTAGATCCTGGACTTAATTAAAAGGAGAAAGCCAGCTAGACCTGGGCATTCATCTCCCTGCTTCCTGGCTGTGAGTGCAGCCTGGCCAGCTCCCTGGCACTCCTGCCACCGGGACCTCCCCACCTTGAGAAACCCAAAGTGGGAGCCAAAGTGCCCCTCCCTTAAATGGCTTTTGTCGGGCATTTCACCACAGCGACACGGAAAAAGGAATGCAGTCACCGCCTGGAACTTGGTCAAGGATTACCCAGAGTAAAGTCAGGGTTGTAACACGCCTTCGGCTTTTAAAGTTTTCTACTAATAAAAGGTTAAAAGGACAAATTAAAAATAAGAGGAGCCGGGCAGTGGTGGCGCACGCCTTTAATCCCAGCACTCGGGAGGCAGAGCCAGGTGGATCTCTGTGAGTTCGAGGCCAGCCTGGACTACCAAGTGAGTCCCAGGAAAGGCGCAAAGCTACACAGAGAAACCCTGTCTCGAAAAACCAAAAAAAAAAAAAAAAAGAGGAAAATTAGATCAAGAAGCATGACAAATACATTAGGAAAAAAAAAAAGAAAACTCATTATTAAATATGGCCAATTAGATACAAGTGTTTATTTGTGCTCCTTCCCAAAATAGTAAGAAATTTTTTTTAAATCCTTTTCAAGTCCTAAGAACAAAGAGACGAAGAAAGGAAATGGTGGGGAGTGGAATATGCCAATAAAATATTAAGCATCATGTGGCAGGTGGCCGGAGAAACTAGCCCAGGCAGTGCCAGGGAAGTTGAATGCCCAGCTGGCTGAGATGGGACCCTGCCAGGAGCCGAAACACATCCCATATGCTCCCTGTCAGCTTCAAGATTGCTCTAGGTTCTCCACTCCCTCCTCGGGGTGGAGTGCCCAGAGAAACACCAGCCTTGTCACTAACTCATGGAACTGGCGCCACTCATGCCCTGAGGCCAGTGCCCGCTGCCCCACCCACCCAGACTGCAGACATGCCTTAGGCACCTCTGTCTTCGCTGTGTGCCGGGGGTATTTAAGCGTTTGTGCTCCTTTTGAATTAAGGCCCAAGAGGAACAGACCTCTTTGTCTAAGGGGAGCAAGCAGAAACTGAAAGAAAAACCAGAACAACCTCAGAAGGAAACTCAGAAGGAAAAACGTCGACCAAACTACAACAGGAAAGGCCTCTCTGCGGGAACATCGGGGACCATTGCCCCGATGTCTGACATAGACCAGAACAGCTTCGATGGGGAACACTCTCAGGAGAAGTTCACCAGGTAGGCCTCACAGCCACCAAGGAGAGGGAGGATGCACAGCCGTCACACCAGCAGAGAGGTGCAGGCCTGTCCTGCAGTGAGGCCTTACAGCCTGCCATGCCCAACCCCAGTGGCACAGGACCTGTCCCAGCCAGTTCCCCTGACCCCCCTCAACTGGAAGCATGGTTACTTTAAAAGCCCGTGTGGTTGTTTCAGGCTGAATCACTTCCGGTGGATTGTGCCTCCCAATGGAGAGGTGGCCTTGAGGGTGCACTTCTCCTCCATTGAGCTTGGCAACTATGACCAAACATTTAATTTCGAGATCCTTGGGACCCGCCGCCAGTACCAGCTCTATTGCCGTGGGGTCTGCACCTACCCGTACATCTGCAAAGACCCAAAGTAAGTGTGCGCTATTTTCAAAGAAAAGGTCAAAAACTATGTTTTTGAGTCCCCTCATCCCAAGGTACTTTGAACAAGGTAAATATTAATAATGTATGGGGGACCAGCAAGAATGCTCAGTGGATAAAGATACTTGCTGCCTAACACATGTGCATGTACACACACACACACACACACACACACACACACACACACACACACACAAAATATATATATATATATATATATATATATATATATATATATATATATATAAAACAATAATAACAACAATACCATTGAACTGGGAACACATTCCAGAACCTCTTGTATCATCAGACTTCGGTGCATCAGACCTTGAAATAAGAGCAACATAGATGATATGATACCACAAGGTGTTCCCAGGCTGAGACAGAATAAACATTACATTAAAAGAGGGGGGAAAAATGTCTTCTGACAAGTGAGTCTGCATATTTACCTACGAAGCAGATTCAGACCGCTTTTACTTTTACTCTAAGAGCTGCCGTCCTGTAAGATGAACACATGCATGAACCCCCATAGGTGGTGTTTCTCTGAACCACTGAACATCACCGTGCAGTTTAGGTCTCAGATAAAGGCACCTGGGTAAGCACACTGGCGCTCCAGCTGGAGGGAGGGGCCTTCTGTAGCTTGTCCTTTTTCATAATTCTCACCAAGGACCACTGTTTTACTAAGGAACTCAAAAGCTGATTATTACCCACTGGAATTATTTAATAGGTTTCCAAAAATGACTATTGTGGAATTTTCATGCCTGGGTGTTGTAGACTATCCAGCTCAGCTCCAGTAGTCTGTTTCTCAAGTTCTAACCATTTCCTCCTGTCTTAGAAAGCAGGAAATAAGCTTCCACAGGAAGCCTCGGGCTAACTGTCTTCAGACACCCTTCAGAGCACACATCATGTGGCAGCATTGAACTTCCATTTGTGTATGGTCATTTTACCTCTTCCTCCCCTGTGTTCAGGGTTGTGTTCCCTCAGAGGAAGAAAGACATGAAGTTAAATGAAGTCATCTTTAAGAAGTACATAATGAGTCTGGAGAAATTTTACTTTGGGCCACTGCTTTGTGGAAAGTCAAGAGACAAGTGAGTGTTACTGTTATTTCAAAGTCAACTTCAGACTTCTGGCTTGAGTTCACAAACACTGCCATTCGAGTTTGTGTGTAAGCAGGGCTTTTATTGACACTTCCCCCATTATCCTCTCAACTCCTAACCAGGAGAATTGGATTTTTGTGTCCCAAGTCTCTGCTTTGACACCCAGATGACTCAGATACCACTCTCCCTAGTGGGAAAGCCTAGAAGAAGAGCAGGCTTTGGAAAGGTGAAATCAAGACTTCACTTTGAGATAGATCAAGTCCAAGCTGTTTAGAAGACATCTCTATGAACCACATAAATCAGAGAACAGAATATATGGTTTGGGTTCTCACAGGAGAGTTCTGTCTTCAAGATGACAAAATCCTCGAGCATGGACTATATGGCATAAGGAGAGTGCACGTAGTGAGGTGATTTCACAAAGAACTTTTCCGTACACAAGAAGAGTCCACAGTAGAAACAAGAAAGAAGACCAGAGTTCTTAGGGGAAACCAGGGAAAAGGGTGCCATGGCTGTATGAGAAGAATGAAGAATCAGCTATGTAGGAATATAATCTTCTCTGCAGCATTTGACATAGCTGCATGTATGCATGTAACAACATTTAATGAAAAACAATACATATATGCATGTAACAACAATGAATGAAAAAGGAAGCCGTGGACTTGAAAGAGAGCAAGGGAGGGGTACATGGGAGGGCTTGGAGAGAGGATAGGGAAGGGAGAAATGTTGTCACTATATGTAATCATAATATCAAAAATTTCTTTTAAAGCCTGAGCTACATGAGACCCTGTCTCAGGCAGGGGGGACAAAGAGAGAGGCGAGTATGTTAAAGGAACTGGTGGAGATTGCTAAGCAAATAAGCAGAATTGGGGTCCCAGATGAGGTTGATTATCATAATTTTGGTGATACTAGTTTTAACTTAGTCAGTTTTTCTTATTGCACAAGCAAAGAATTGAGATGGAAAGGAACCAAGGTCTCCATCCAATCCAGCACTTCCTGTGATACATAGAGTGTTTTACTTTGTGCCTTCTTGGTAGAGCTAATGGATTGTCTTTGTTCCCTGGCCTTTTTATCTCCTCTAGTTTCTTTTCTGGGGAGCTACACTATGAAAGTGAGAAAAAGATGCTGATGATAGGCAAGGCTTTTAAGACCCAGCAGAAGATCTTAGGAGGGTGGTTAAGAAGAGCCAGTTGGTAGACATGGCATACAAAGAAGTTCAGTAGTGGGGATCGGATAAATAATGATTATTCATGGACGTGTGTGTGTGTGTGTGTGTGTGTGTGTGTGTGTGTGTGTGTGTAGTACTACAACAACAGTGACTGCCATAGTCCAAAATAAGACCCAGTGCAGATACCATTCACTTACTCATTTAAACCTTGGCTGAGCCTTATTAGTAAGAATAATGGGAAGACAACAGTGTCCACCTCAGAGGTTTGTGAGAACCAACTGAGTAACAGACCTGAACTCTTTAGCATCATGATGGGTAAGATGTTGAGGTCGCCTCCCTTTCCTAGTTATTCACACAGAGTTGCCTGACTGGCACTATGGTTTGAATCAGTCATTCTTTCTCCTTTCATCCTCCATCACAGCTTGCTCAAAGCTCTTCTCAAACTGTCTCTGGGCTGTGTAGCTCTTAATTCCTTCAGCCTTCTGCAGTGGTTCCTATTTTGTCCATTGCCTTTAATGGAATGCCTTCCAATAGCCCTGATGCTTACCTCTACAGATCCCTCCTGAAGGCATTAGGAAACAGAAGCAAATTAGTTATGTGAACAAGGCCAGATAAAGTGGCAGAGCACTAACAGTCTATGAAGGTGTTGTAGAAGAAGGTGAATGAAATCACCTCTAAGAAAGATGTCAAATATCAGGTGACCCAAATGATAATTTCTCATGGGAATACAAGGATAGATGGTCACTTTTCTCAAAGTTCTCTGCATTTGATAGTTCCATGTGTTCTAAGAACTCCAAATGTACAGTCTCATTTAATACCAAGCAACACTAAGCAATGCTGTCCCACATTCTTAAAGATAAGCAGACCGAGGCTTATGGGGGTCACGTCACAATACAGTATTCTCAGAGGCAAGTGAACAACTACAAATGTCATGACCTCAGCCAACTGCCACTGCCTCCACACAGCCACAGTACCCTTTCCAGTTCCATTGCACCTCATAGGCTCCTTTTACACAGGAACCCTCACCCCGTCATCACAACCTCATCCCATTCCCATTCATTTCCAGGTATAAGTCATCCTTGTTCCCTGGCAACATGGAGACCCTGACAATCCTCAATGATTCTCCAATGGTGGTGGAGGCATACTTCTGTTTCCAGAATGATGTGAAAGCAAGCACCTACTTTCTAGAGCCTGTCAACATGATTCTGAAACCCAACGAAAAGCAGGTACAGTCAGAGGGGGCAAGTCCCTGGGGGGAGGCTTTCTTGGGAAAGTCAAGACCTGACATCCTCAGTGTAAATGGACTTTGTTTCGACTCTCCCATCAGACACTAAATGTATGGGCCTACCCTACTGCAGTCGGTGTCTTTGAAGACAGCATTGTCTGCTGCATCAAGGAGAACCCAGAGCCAGCTATCTTTAAGTTACACTGTCAAGGAATCCGTCCAGAAATTGAGGTGGAGCCCAGGCAAATACATTTTGACCGGCTCTTGCTTCACAGGTAAGAGTTCTGGATGACTCGCAAAGAGGAAGGCAATTTCAAGAACATTTAGCTCGAAGGTAATCAGCTCCCCTTGAGTTACTCTGGTCTTTGGGGGTTTGATGTTTGTTTGTTGGGTTTGTGTGTGTGTGTCACTAGAAACTGAACTCCAACTCTGAGCCTTGTGTGTGCTAGGCAAGTGACTCTCTGTCACTGAGCCCCACCCCCTCTCCAGCCCTTATTTTGTCTTTTAATTAAAGCAATAAAAATCAAATGTTCTCTATTTATCTATATATTTGAATTTTCATAGGCTTCCTTTCTGAATTTCTATCTGATGACATTTTTTCCTCACAATTCCTTTTATTTTTTTTTTAAGTATTTTATTTGTTATGTATGCAGTGTCCTGCCTGAAGGCCAGAAGAGGGCACCAGATCTCATTACAGATGGTTGTGAGCCTTGAACTCAGGACCTCTGAGCCATCTCTCCAGCCCCACAATTCCTTTAGAAGTACTTGTAATGCAGAAATGGTAACAGCCACCAAAATAATAATAATTATGCACCACTGCTAAAGGCTGGATCACCAAATCAGACCACTCACAAATGAGGAACATCAACCTTTATTAGTATCCTGGTTAGTTCTTTGTCACCTTGATCCAAGCTAGGGTCATTTGGGAAGAGGGAGCCTCAATTGAGAAAATGCCTACATCTCATTGACCTATAGACAAGTCTTGGGGGCATTTTCTTGATTGATGGATGATTGATGTGGGAGGGCCCAGCCCACTGTGGGCAGTGCCACCGGGGCAGATGGTCCTGCATTCTGTAAGAAAAAAGCCTGATCAAGCCATGAGGAGCAAACCAGTCAGCAGCATTCCTCTGTGGCCTCTGCTTCAGTTCTTGCCTCCAGGTTCCCGCACTGACTTCTCTCAAAGATGGATGATAACCTGAGAATTACAAGATGAAATAATCCTTTCTTTTCTGGGTTGCTTTTGGTCACAGTGTTTACCACAGAAATAGAAAGCAAACTAGAACATCTATTTATCTCAAAGATGAAAGCAATCAAAACACAGAGAAAGAAACATCTTTTATTATCAATCACTTCTGCTCACACCAGTCTTACGCTTTCTGGCCCAGATTAATAACTCAGCCTCAGGTGGGCAGTAGTGGCGCATGCCTTTAATCCCAATGCTCAGGAGGCAGAGGCAGACCTGCAGACAGATCTCTGAGTTCAAGGCCAGCCTGGTCTACAGAGAAAATTCTAGGACTGTGGTGATATTGTGTCCTCCAATATATTGTGCACCTTAATAAACTTATCTGGGGTCAGAGAGAAGAACAGCCACTAGATAGACATAGAAGCCAGAAAACAGTGGCACACACACCTTTAATCCTAGCATTCTGGAGGCAAAGATCCATCTGATCTCTGAGTTCAAAGCCACACTGGACAGCCAGGCATGGTGACACACACCTTTCATTCCAGGAAGTGATGGCAGGAAGCAGAAAGGTAAAAAAGGCATGAAAACCAGGAACTAGAGCCTGGTTAACCTTTTAGACTTTTAGCACCAGTTCAACTGAGATCCATTTGGATGAGGACTCAGAGGCTTCCAGTTTGAGGAAATGAGATCAGCTGAGGAATTGGCAAAGTGAGATTGGATGTGGTTTGTTCTGTCTCTCTGATTTTTTTCAGCGTTTACCCCAATACCTGGCTCTGGGTTTGTTTTTATTAATAAGACCTTTTAAGATTCATGCTACGCAGAAAAACCCTGTCTTGGGAAAAAAAGAAAAAAAACTACCTCAACCTCTAAGAAAGTGTTTTTGATAACTTCAGTCAACAGGAAAAAAAATGGTTTGGGAACATACATTATTTTACATGTCAAGTGTTCACCTACCTGCAGGGACTCCATTGCCATATATTCAGGGTCTGAGTTTATTTATATAAGTCATCCATTTTCTTACATTATTATAGTGTTAGTCTGTTTACCATCACATCTGACTGACACCAGGTTTGCGGAAGATTAGACCAAGTTACCTGCCCTTATTCATTCCTCAGAATTGTTTCTCAGAATTTGTAGAAAAATGGATCACAAGACAGATCCATTCCTCACAGTAGCATGACTAAAAGCCATTAAAAGAAATAATATAGTATTCTGAAGAATGGTTTGAGTAAATCAAAAAATACAGGAATGAGAACAGTAAAAGCAGAAGGAATGAGAATACCCAACAGGACAGGTTTTAAGACATAAAAGGGGGAAATATAATCATCAAAACGTGTGTGTCTAGGAGCTGAGCTTTAGATGCATGAAGCAAGAACCAATAGAACTAAGGCAATGAATAGGTAAGTCTGTGGTCGTGGTTGGAAATATATTGATACCCTTTTCTGAAAGACTAAGAGAATAACTAATCAAAACATCAGCATGGATGATCTAAACACAACTATTAACTACTTTAACCTAATTAAATGTATTTTGACTCAATTTTTTTTCATTTGAGAATTTCATATATGTATATCACCTGTTTTGAACAAATCCACCCCCTATTTCCTCCATTCCAATTCTTTCCCACCCTCACCACCACTTTTCCCTCCCAACTTGATGTGCAGTCAGGGCTCGTCATCTGTATATGGGTGTATGAGCGTCTGTGGAGTCTGGATAGCCTTCCAGTAACCACCTTCCTGAAAAAAACCAACTGACTTCATTTTCCCCAGAAGCCATCAGTTGCCCATAGACTCTTAGCTAAGGGACCTCATGAGCTTTGACTTAGGACTTCCTGAGCTCCCTCCCCATCCATTCTGGGATTTTGACTGACTTAATCTCGTGCAGCTTTGGGGGGGGGGCACAGCATCTATAAGTTCAAGTGTGCAATAACAATATTATGTGCAGCCGATACTGTACTGATATTTCACTGCAGATATCTACTACTTCCTATTCTTATAATCTTTCTACCCCCTCTCCTGAGATTAAAGCCTCAGCTTTGTAGGGAACAGTGTGGTATAGATGTCACATTTATAGCTCAGCAGTCTGCAGTCTCTTATTCTCTGCACGTTGACCAGTTGTGGGTCTCTATTAATTGCCATCTGCTACAAAAATTATCTTCTCTGATGACAGCTAAGAGGTGCACTCATCTGGAGGAATAAGGATAAGAGCGTAGGGGACAATTTGCTGTTTCAGCTTAACAGAATAATTGTATTAGATTCTCTTCCAAGGCCTATGACCTAACCAGCCAAGGATTTTTATTTTATCAGGTATTATTTCTGTCTTGTGAAACTGGCCTTAAGTCAAAACAGGAAGTGACTGATTGCTCTCATGACATTTGTACCACTGGTGCATCAGCAGGCGTATCTTGCCAGACTAGTCAGAACTGCATCTCAACGAACTCATAGATAGTTGAAAATAATGTGTTTTGTGTAGGACCTTCCATTACTATGAAAGCTAGTCAGTAGTGATGAAGCTTCCAAGTCAGTACCAGCTTGATTTCTCTATATTCTATGACTCAGGTATGTAATGTCTTCAATACATCCAGTTCTGGAGAGTAACCAAGAGCAATGGCAATAGCATGTGATTTTTGAGGCTGTCTATGGGACCCCATTGACCAACAACTTTAAAAGAGGTGGCCTATACCTGGCACTGATAGCCTATAGTGTCTAGGAAAGACATTGCCCTGCTCCATTATAAGGCAACTCCATTTAAATTCATTTTATATATGCATATGTATATTTTTAGGAAGCTTTTATAGTAGCAGGGTTTCCATGTGACTTTTCAAAGGTCTTTGGTGTTAGTAATCCATGCTCCCTCCTCTCATATGTTGATGCTAGCTTTTAATATTTAGATATGTGTTTAAATTGGAGTACCCATAAAAGTCAGGAAACTAGTAAGGGGTCAGACAGAAGGTTTCAAGGTTAATTTGACTAAATATTTATCAATCTTGTTAATCTTTTCCAATAACATACTTTCATTGATTATTTCTATTTCTGATTTTTATCATCTCTTCTCATCTACTATTTGGGGTGGTGTTTATTTTTCTAAAGCTTCTATGTTCACCATTAATTTAAGACCTCTTGGCTTTTTTATGTAGGCACTTAGTGCTATAAACTTTTCTCTTAAGACTGCCTTCACTGGGTCCCATAGATTTTGATATGTTGTATTTTTATTTTCATTCAGTTCTAGGAAATAATAATTTCCTTCTTGATTTCCTCCTTGGCCCGACTGCCATTCAGGAGTGTGTTGTTTAGTTTCCATGAGTTTGAGTACTTTCTGCAGTTTGCACTGCTGTTGATCTCCAGCTTTGTTTCATTATGCTCAGATCCAATGCTGAATGTTATTTCAGTTTTCCTTTATTTGTTGAGACTTGCTTTGTATCCTACTGTGTGGTCAGTTTTGGAGAAAGTTCCATGGGCTTCTGAGAAGATGTGTAATCTTTAGTGACTGGGTGGAATGTTCTGTAGATGTCTGTTAGGTCTTTCTGATTTATGATGTCATTTAACTCTAATGTTTCTGTTATTTTTGGTCCAGATGACCTATTGGTGAAAGTGAGGTATTGAAGTCACCCACAATCACTGTGTTAATATGTGGATTTTTTTTATTTCATAAAATATATATCCCTTTCCCAACTCCTCCACATCATCCCCACATCTCTACCCATCCAATTTCATTCTCTCTCTCTCTCTCTCTCTCTCTCTCTCTCTCTCTCTCTCTCTCTCTGCCTCTCTTAAAAAAACAGTAAAAACAGCAAAAACAAAATTGAAACAAGGGAAAATAAAATAAGAAAATTAGTAAGACATGTTAAAAAAAAAACAGGAAGTCCTTCTTATGTCACCCAACTAATCTGTGGCTTTAGATCTAGTAATATGACTTTTGTGAAGTTGGGTATGCCTGTGTTTAGTTCATATATGTGGTGATATTTTGTTTGTGCACTAACAAATAAAGCTTTCCTGGAGATCAGAGTATGGAGCTAGCCACTAGTTAACCACAGAAGCCAGGCAGTGGTGGCTCATACCTTTAATCCCAGCACTTGGGAGGAGAAAACAGGAAGATCAGGAGTTCAAGGCCACTCTTGGCTATACAATACTGATCCAGTCTGAAAGAGAAACAGAGCCAAACAGTGGAGGCACACTCCTTTAATCCCAGGACTTGGGAGGTAGAGACAGGAAGTGATATGGCTGGGCAGAGAGAGGAATATAAGGCAGGAGGAGACAGAAGCTCACCCCCCTTTTCAGGCTGAGGATTTGGTAAGGTAAGAAGTGGCTGTGGCTGCTCCTTTACTTCTCTTAACTTTCAACATGTACCCCTATTTCTGACTCCAGGTTTTTATTATTTAGACCAATTAGAATTTGCACTACACATATATGTTCAGAATTGTAATAGCCTCTTGGTGGCTTTTACCTTCAATGAATACGAAGTGATCTTCCTTATTTTTTATTTGAAGTCTGTTTTGTCAGATATTAGAATAACTATGCCTGCTTGCTTCTTGGTTTCATTTTCTTAAAATACCTTTTTCCATCCTTTAACTCCAAGGTGGTGTCTATTTTTTATTGTGGGTTGTGTTTCTCGGAAGCACAAAAAGATGGATGCTGTTTTCTAATCTAATCTGCTAGTCTGTATCTTTTTATTGGAAAATTAAGACCACTAATATTAAGAGTTATTATTCAACCATGTGTATTGATTCCTGGGTTTTTTGTTTTGTTTTGTTTTCTTAGACTTATTTTGACTAGCTGGTTTGGCATTGTTTATTTTATCCCATGTGCTTATCCTTCTCTGCAGACTAAAATCTTCCCTCCAGTACCCTCTGTAGAGTTGTTTAAGTGCCTATCAACTATAAAATGCATATTTATTTCAAGCACACATGAAGCATACAGTGCAAAGCCATAAAACAAGGCTCATTCAAGTTCAACTTAACGGAGAAACCCTGTCTCAAAAAAAAATTTCAACTTAATGAAATTGCCTTGAGTATATTTTCTAACCATGGCATAATTAAATCATAGACAGATTTCTCATTGTTGGAGGAAAGGAGATTTAAGTTTATCGTGTGGGCCACCAAGATGGCCCAACAGATGAAGGCACTTACTACCAGTCCTAACAATCTGAGTTTGATCCCAAGGTCCCACATGGTAGAAAAAGAGAACAGACTCTTACAAGTTGTCCTCTGACCACCACAAATGCACAATTGCATATGTGCGCGCGCGCGCACACACACACACACACACACACACACACACACACACACACACACACACACACCTTTTAAGTATACCTGGTTATTGAGTTGGAATTAGAAATATCAGCCTAAACTCCTGGTTTTTAATATAAAGATATGTACAGAAACATACACAAGTTTCCCAGCTCTGTCACCAGGAGGGCTTGGAAACAATGATACACCAGTAGCAATGAGGGCCCCATCATCCGGATCTTGGTATCAAAATATCATTCTCCAGTAAATGGCAAGGATCCTTGGTGAAAGGATTTTTCTGGTACTGAAGCAGGGAAACTTTTTGTTGTGCCATAAAGAACCTAAAGATTATGGACACATAACAGGGCATAAGAACCAACTCCAAGAGCCTCCCACCATCTAAATCTGAGACAATTTGAAAGTCAAAATAAAACAATGCCATAATTATAATATAATGACCTATAGCAGTGATTGTCAACCTTCCTAATGCTGTGACTCTTTAATACAGTTCCTCATGTTGTGGTGACCCCCCCCATAAAATTATTTTCATTGTTACTTCATAACTGTAATTTTGCTACTGTCATGAATTGTAATGTAAACATCTGTTTTCTGATGGCCTTAGGTGACTCCTGTGAAAGGGTCGCAATCCGCAGGTTTAGAACCACTGGTCTATAATGTATTGAGTGGGAATCATAACTCTACTGTCATAAGCATATGAATAAATACATGAGAGAATGAAGTTCTGTTCTTGACAACAGAATACCAACTAAGTGTAGAAAGGTTGATGGTATTAGCAAATGATTGAGGATGCTAACATTAGTGTGTGACTGTTTGGCTAAGAACAGGGCATTTATCCAGGCGTGGTAATAACAGCCTGTAGTCCTGGTAATTGGCAGGTGGAGGCAAAAGGATCAGAAGTCCAAGGTCATCCTCAAGGAAGGCAAGATCGACTGGATAAAGAGGGATTCATACAACTTTTCTCTAAGTTTTACATGGTATTAATTGAAGATCATTTGAAATAGCTTGTTCATGAAAAAAATTAAAATCATGTAAATCTGTGCATCCCTCATGAGCTAAGCAACTTAAATAAAAACAAGGCAAGAAGAGTCAAGGGATGTTTACACAACCAACTTCAAAAGCAAAACTGTGGGGCCAAGAGTGGTGGTACACAACTATAACCCCAGCAAAGGAGGCAGAGGCAAGAGGATCTCTGTGAGTTCAAGGCCAGCCTGTTCTGCATGGTGAGTCCCAGCCAGGGCTACATAATGAGACTCAGTCTCAAAAATCTAAAATAAAAGTTATTATTTCTTCTCCCTATTACATAATTTTAATGGAAAAAAACAGAGAGATAAACTGACATTTGAAAAATTATTTGAACTTGATCAAATTTCTTTTGGTTCCTGCAGAAGAGAATCCAAGACAGTGGTTCTCCGCAATGTCACACCCCTAATTGTGGCCTGGCGGATCACCAGCATGGAGCACCTAGGTGATGACTTCACTGTGTCCGTGATGCAGGCCAGCATCCCACCCAAGGGAGAGTTTGGGGTGCAGGTGCACTTCCAGCCCACCAAACCAGTCAACATCAAGAAGGCCATTCGGATTGAGGTGAGAAGTGACATCCCCGTAGATTTGATTATCAAATATGCATTCATGAGTACACACACACACACACACACACACACACACACACACACACACCACGGAGTTCTCTTTGTTGAATACCCACATCTGATCCCTGTGTGCTATCTCCAGCCCGTGATATCTTGCTCTGCACACAGCAAGCTCAATAAAGGCAGTATCACTCAGAGCAGATTTCTTACTTCCAAAAACAATACTCAGTATGGAATGAATAAATGAATGAATGAATACATGAATACATGAATAATGTTACTATATCTAAGTAAACATTACTTGCCTCACCTCATAGCCTAAACCCAGCCATCTATCAAGTTTTTGTTTTGGTGACCATCACCTTCACTGTTGCTCCCAGCTGGCACCTGACAACCATCTCAATGCCCCACTTGTCCTGATGCAGGTCCTTTCAATCCAGTCCCCCCAGCAATCCTCACTAGTTCCGCCTCCAAGGGTGTCTCCTTCCCACTGCCATCTTGGTCTGCACTGCTGGTGCCCCCCTCATCCAGGCCGCTTGGACCCCGGCCTCTCCTGTATTCCCCACAAGTGCCCACAGGGCTCTGTGCAGTCTTGGTCAGTGGGGTTGCTCACCCCTCTCGGTGCGCTTTGCTCTCCTCTCTCAGCAGCGAGGGTGGCGCCTTGGTCTCGGCTGCATCTTGCTCCACCCTCACCTCTAATTATCGTCTCCCATCCTCTTGTGTAAGCTCTCGCCTGCTTGCACTACTACGCCCCTGCTGAAAGTTTTTCTCTAAGCTTTGCGGGGAGTTGGCACCTGCTTGAAGATCTGCTGACATCGCTGCCTCAGTGGGCCTAACTTATGTCCCACTGACGGAATCGCCTGTGTGTGTAACCAGTCTGTATCCTCCATCCTGCAGAGACCCACTCCATTCTCTCTCGTGTCCTTCTGCTTGCTGATTGGTAGATGAACTCCATCATGCAGGATCTCTCCTGATTTGTTCATCATCTGTATTAGTTTCCGGGGACCACTGTGACAAACCACCACAACCTAGAACAGACCTTCCTCCTAGTAGTTCTGAAGACTCGCAGGACTGCACCCCCTCTGAAGGCTCCAGGGAAGGGCCTTTCCTTGACCCTTCTGGTTTGAGGGGCCTAGGAGTGGGTGCCTCGGCTTGTGCCTGTGACCCTCCAACCTCTGTCTACATCATCAGAAGGCAGTCTCCTGCCTGTCTCCTGTATTCTAGAGAGACGCAGGAAGCCCTCCATACCCAGGAATTCTCCACCCACAGATCCAACCATACTGGAAAATGTGTATTGAAAGAGAAGATAGAAATTCTGAATTAATGCTTGAGTTGGGGGATGAAAAGATGTTTGGTGGTTAGGAACACGTGCTGCTCTTACAGAACAGTTCCCAGCACCCATTTTTTTGGGTGTTCACAATAGCCTGTAACTCCAACTCCAGATTTCAACAACATCTTCTGGCCTCAATGAATATCTACACCCACATGCACATACCCACACACATACACATAATTTTAAAAATAAATTTTTTAAATCTTAAATTGAGTGGCAATTGTAAATTTCCTCTTGCACCCAAGCACAGGGAACACAAACTGGTGGCTTTGTTTTTCGACTGGAGTCTTCAGCAAGATGGCAGAGGCCTCCACCTCTGTGTTGGATCACCCCAGATGCTCTTGTCCTGACCAATGGACCCTTTATCGCCTCCTGGTTTGTGTCCAAGGTCAACAGTCAACTAGACAGAGTTAGATTGGTCTGCCAGCTGGCACCAGCTCAGTGGCTCCTGGGGACAGTGAGGAAGGAGCCTCATCAGTGACAGCACCAGAATCAGTGAGCTCCTAAAGGCCACAGATCTGAAGGTGACCATGATCACACAACTAAAATGCTTTGGATTTCCAAAACAGAAACATTCAGTATGTATTTTACATGAAAAAAAAAAAAATCTAGCGCTTTTCTACAGTTCGAGTCACAAGGAATAGAATAGTTCCAGCCCGTGCAGTGGGCAGAGCAAGATGACTTAAAGTGCGAGATCAGAAAAATTAGACTTCTAAGTTCTCAGAAATATTTCCCTACCATCTCTGCTGCCCAGTTCCCCCTACATCTTACATAGTTTGGACTCCGGACACTTTGTGGGTCTCGGCTTTCACTGCTGAAGAATTTCTCTTTCCCTGACAGGTTTTGGATGCAGACAATCTTGTTGGTGTTGTTCAGATCGAAAACATCTTGGTCTTTGCAGAATCCTACGATATTGCTTTGGACATCACCTTCCCCAAAGGTGGGCTGAGCCCTGGAAATGAGGCTGTTTGGGTAGGGAGTCCCAGGTGGAGAGACCCTAGTGTGTTGTTAGTGCAGTGGTGGGGTTGATGGGGAGGAAAAATTTTGTCATGGTGCAGTAAGCCTGGAGTGATGTTGGCAACACCACTATAAATTACAGTTTCCTCAGTGGAGGACAAGGGGTTGTTGCTAGTATGCAGTCTCCAGGGCTCTTCTCTGAGAAACTGAGAGCAGAAGCTTCTCCTCCTGCCCGCATTTTTATTCTATTGTCACTGTAACGGATTGCCACAATCCTGACCTAACACAAACGACACCAGCTGCTAATGAAACTGAGGCAGGAGGTCCTTGAGTTCAAGGCCAGCCTGGGTTACCTAATGAGAAGAACAAAGGAAAAAAGAAAAGCCCCACAATTATTACAGTCCTGAGGTCTGTTCAAAGCAGGTCTTACTGGATCTCGCTAGGTGGATACCCAAGTGATGACAGAGAAGCATTCCTTCCTGAAAGATTTGCGGTCACTAGAGACTACCCACGTCCCTTGGTTCATGTCCCCTTTCTGGATCTTGAAAGCCAGCAATATCCGACTGGATCCTTCTTTCTCATGCTGCCATCTCCCTGATCCTCCCACTCCTGCTGTCCCCCTCTACTTTTATAGGGACCTTTGTGGTTACATTGGGCCACCAAGATAATCCATGTCAGTCTCCACATTTCATGGCAGCCCATCACCAGCCTCAAGTCCACCTGCTACATCAAGTCCCCTTTGTTGTGTGTTCACAGACCCCAGGGATTAGAATAGGTGTCCTGAGACATTCTGTCTGCATGCTGCCCTGACACCGGAGTCGTGTATCTCCCCTGAGCATCTGATTCTCCACGATCCCTCCTCTCCCTGACAGGTCTCTTCCGCAGCAAGATTATTAGAGCTACATGTTAGTCAGGTGCTATTGTCTTAATATTCAGAGTCACAGGGGAGTTAATGCCCTTTTCTGGCCTCTGAGGGGTCTACCTGTATATGGGGTGTAGACACATGTAAATAGAGTTAAGAACACACACCACACTGGGCACTATGGTACACATCTGTAATCCCAGCAACAGGGAGGCAGAGCCAGGCGGATCTCTGTGAGTTCAAGGTCAACCTGATCTACAGAGTGAGTTCCAGGACAGGCACCAAAACTACACAGAGAAACCCTGTCAAAATAGTAATGATAACAATAATAATGATGAAAATAATAATAATAACACATACTGCTCTTCCAGAGGACCCAAGTTTGATTCCCCATACCCATGTCAAGCAGCTCACAACTACCTGTCATTCCAGCTCCAGAAAGACCCCACACCGCTGGCCTCTGAGCTTACCTGCATACACCCCCCACACAGATGCACATACATACATATAATTAAAAATAATAACTAATATAGATAAGTAAAGTTCCCAGACTGTTTAGCTAACAGTAGTCATGCAAGGCTAGTGACCCCTCTGAATGGAATCCCAAGGGAGGCGTGTGGGTGCACTAAGAGGTTAGTGTCGTAAAGGGTGTCTCCAGCCACAGAGTTCTCAGAAGAGAAGTTCTCTGTAATCATCACCAGGGATGATGCGCCATGTAAACTTGAGCGGGAAGGCCCTGCTCTGGCTCCCTTGTCCACTCACCCCTCCGCCATGTCCTGGCTTCTGCAGGAGCTGAAGGAGGTCTGGATTTTGGGACTATGAGGGTCATGGAGGAGGCCAAGCAGCCCCTTCAACTGAAGAACCGTGGGAAATATGAGATCGTTTTCAGGTAATCTGAATCCCATGGGGCATGTGGCAACCATCCACATCCACTCATGACAAGAAGGATGTGTCTAGGGATTTTGTATAAAGAAACTAAAAGTGCGACTGGAAAGATGGCTCAGCAGTTAAGGGCACTGGCTTCTCTTCTAGAGGACCCAGGTTCAGTTCCCAGCGCCTACATGGCAGCTCACAACCATCTGTAACTCTGGTTCCAGAGAATCTGGTACCCTCGAAGAAATATACATGCAGGCAAAAAAAAAAATCAATGAACATACAAATAAATTTTTAAAAAAGAGAGAGAGACCAGAAGCTAACTCAGTGAGTAAAGTACCTGCCGTGCTCATGTGAGGACCTGAGTTCAATCCCAACACCCACAGAAAAATCCAGGCGTCTGTAACACTAGCATAGGAGGGAACTCTCAGAGCTCTCTGGCCACCAGTCTAGCTAACTTGGTGAGTTCACTAAGAGACCTTGTCTTATAAGGGGGGGAGCAATCAAGGACCACATCTAACATTAACCTCTAGCCTCCACACACACACACAGCACACACACACACACACACACACACACACACACACACATCTGAATGCACATGTACCACAAACAAACATGTACACATATAAAAAAAAAAAAAACAAAAAACCAGGAGCTAGGAGTATAGTTCACTTGGTAAAGTGCTTGTCTAGCATGCACAAGGCCTTGAATTTGATCTCCAGCACCATGTAAACAGAGTGTATGTAGTAGCACATACTCAGCAAGTAGAGGCAGAAGGACCACAAGTTCAAAGTCATCCACCTCTCTTAAAAAGAAAAAGTGGATAACAGCTCAGGAATGACCCCTGGTGTTTGCCATCCATACCTTTACACACACACATATATATATATATATATATATATATATATATATATATATATATATATGAATATGTATGTATGTATGTATGTATATGTGTGTGTGTGTGCCCACACATACAAGAACATACACTTGCATAGTGGATTTTGCTTGGTAAGATAACTACATGGGGCTAGAGACAGGCAGGCCCTCAGCAGTTCACACTGCCCTCTCCGGCGTCATGGGTTCCCTGGATAATGGTTTAAACCGATTCTTTGCTCTTGTCTTCCAGCTTCTCTGTGGACTCCTTAGGGATTTTGCCAACAAATTTAAACTCCATGATCTCAGTCCAACCCAAAAGGGGTTCACTGACCTCAGCAGATAAGCCCACGACCATCCAGGTGTACTTCCGTGCCAAAAAGGAAGTGAAGATTGAAGGCCAGCCTGTTCTGCGCTGCCAGGTGAGAGCCCAGAGAAACGGGCTCACTGTCCGGACTGTAGGCATTCTGATGAGAAGAGGGGAGGAGGGGGCGCCTGGGTGGCAGCCAAAGAAGCTACACCAGAGTTCAGTCCCAACTAACGGGGACAGGTAAGTCAGGACAGGTGTGAAAAGTCACCAGAAATATAGATAATATATTCAAATACATTTATTAATATTATATTAGTAATATATTATATTTAAAATACGTGTTTTATATATTATATACATACAGGAGGCCACACAAGCCCCCACCCCTAACTGAGGACCTATTGACAGTTGATGGCTGTCAGGGGGGAAAGTCAGTTCTCTTTAAGGTTTGATGTCTGGTAGGCTGACCATTCTCCAATGGAGAGACCCATGTCTTTGTGGATAGCACTGCTGAATCAAAGGTTATTTAAAACAGAGAACATGGAGTTGGGAAGTGGATGTGGGAGTCAAGGTCTGGGAGGAGTTGGAGGGGGAAGTGGTAGATGAATGTGGTTGAAATAAATTGTAGGCATGTAAGACATTCTCAAAAAAATAAATTTAAAAGGTTTTTTTTTTAATTTCATGATGTTCTAAGTAAGCTTATAATTTTATGTTAGGGCAAATTCATAACTCCTTGGCTGCATGTGGCCTACGGACCAAAGGTCAAACATACCTCAGGAAGGGTATCAGTCATGAAAGCAAGCAAGAAGACACTTTTGGAATGGGAATTCTATTGCTGTATCACTGACTAACATCTTCCCTTCTTCCTTCTCTAGATTATTGAGCCCAATCTCCCAGAAAGTGAAATCATTGCCAGCATCCCAATTAAGTTTTCTGTGAATGCAGTATACTCCAAATTCATCATCAGCCCCTCCTCTGTCATCAACTTTGGGGCTTTGATCTGCGGTACCAGGAAAACTACCACCTTCACCATAGAAAACCAAGGCATAATCGACTTCAGATATGCCCTCTACAGGCTGACAGGGGAGAGTCCGATTCATCAAAAGAAGGCGTAAGAAGTCATTGGCTTGGTGCTTTGTACCCTTCAAAGAGCTGTGACATACTTTACCTAACTAAATTCACCCATCCCCTTGCATGAATGAAGATGCTCAAGTTTAGAACTGTCTCATAAAAGATTATGTGGGAAATCATCAGTAGGGGTTGGTTCCGAACCACATCTTCTGATCAGATTTCATGCATTTTCTAGCTGCCATCAAACAAAGGATAAATTTTAGTTGAGCAAATGTAAAGTCTTCTGGATGGATGTGATGGTGCATAACTCTGTCCAGGACTCAGAAAGTGGAGGCAGAAGGGCACACGTCATCCTTGCCTTCCTAGCAAGTTCTAGGCCAGCGTGGGCTACTTGAGACTCTTTCTCATGGATGGATGGATGGATGGATGGATGGATGGATGGATGGATGGATGGATGGATGGATGGTGAGAGAAGAAGGAGAAAGTGAGGAAGTAGAAAGGGAGGAGCAAAGTCTTCCATGGAAAGATACTGGATTTTATGTGCTGTCCTGGTGTTTCTGGTGTGCTAAAAGACTGGTAAGCCATTGCCCTCTCTGTCATCCTACAGGATATTGAGGGATGATTAGAGACAGAAAAAAAATTAATCAAAAGAAGGCTAAACTATGCCTTCACTGTGGGGGAGTGGCGAAGGGTGCCCTGGAATGCAGGCGAGAGGAATCAGAATGGTACCCAGCAAGCACCACCCCTCCTTTGCCCCGTGAAGACCCCTGGTCGCCACAGCTGCCTCAGTAGTTCCAGTGGCAACACGCTCTTCTTCAACATGTGTCTCTCACCAGACCAAAAAACCCACCGCTCTTTTGGGTGCTCTTGGCTCCCCAACTGTTCTGTTGTTTTGCTTAGAAGCAAATTTGAAAGGTGGCTCTGACAAGTTCCCAAGCTGCATCTCCCTTGCTTTCTTACTTTCTGATGTTTCACAGACAGACCTCCTCCTCTTGCTGCTTTTGGTAGTTTTGGATTTTCTTCAACTCGAATTTTTCTATACTGGCAAAGTTTGAACATATTAAGAAATTTGGGTTTAAATTGCCTAAAATTTCTTCCTTCCAATTTTAGTTCCAACCTCCTCACAGTTTCTTTTGTAGTGATTTAGTAGTGCTTCTGGTGATTATAATTTATATTTTGATTTAAGTTATTTTTATTTGGGGGTTGGAAGATGGCTCAGTAGTTAAGGGCACTTGCGGTTCTTGCAGAGGTCTTGGGTTTGGTTCCCAGCACCAACACAGTGGCTCACAATGTAACTCCATGCAAAATCCCTTCTGGCCTCCATGGCTACCAGGCATACACATGGTACACACACATACATGCAAGAAAAAAACACTTGTGCACATAATTCTTAAACAAATAGTTTTAATTAATTTATTTAGTATTTAATTTTTTTCACTTTAGCTTGCGTGAATTCAAAACACACAAGCAGATGTGTTCCTGTCATCAAACAAGTGAATGAATACATAAGATTTTCAAAATATTTAAGATTCATCTCAAATATAGTTGCACACTCTAGGTACAGGGGTCTCTGGACAAACTAACAATTGGGTACATTGGTTTCAAGTGAAGTCAAGTTGCTAAAACCTGTATCTATTATTTATACTAGCCTTTATACACATCACAGCTATAAACATGAAAAATGGAGACAAAATTCATCATTTCATGTATAAAATGATATCAGGTAAGGTTTTATATATCTGACTAATTTCCAAAACGGTGCTTCCCAGTGAACTCAAACACTTAAAATCTCATTTCCTGTTCATGGTGCTGAGGGATGAGCACAGGACCTGAAGTGTACTTGGCAGGCACTGTGTGAGCTGCAGCAATAGCCCACCTTGTTGTTGTTGTTGTTTTAAGACAGGGTCTTACTAAGTAGTCCATGTTGACCTAGAACTTGCTTGTAACCCAAGCAAGCTTCCAGTGTGCAAACCTCTTGCTTTGGCTTCCCCAGGGTATCTGGAATTAGCAGGCCTGGCCCAGGCCTGGTGTGTGCTCACCTGCTTATTATGTTTTTGTTGTATGTTTTGTTGTGGTTGTTTCTGACACCAGCCAGCTTTCTGTCACTGTAACGAAAGAACTCAGGCAATAAATTTACAAAGAGAAAAGGATGTCCGTGCTCCTTGTTTTGGAAATGCAGAGCACGATCAGTTGGGTGTGAAGCTAGGCAGGACTTCATGGCTAGTACATACAGCCGAGAAAAACTCTTCCTCTCAGACCAGGAAGTAAAAGAGAGAGGGAGAAGGGGCTAGGGTCCTCTAATCCCCGTCAAGGGACTGTCAGTGAGTTAAGGACCTCCTAATATCGTTATCCTGGGGATCAAGCCTTAACACATGAACTTTGCCTGAAGTAATTTTCAAAATCCTTATGATTTGCATTCCACGAGTATAATTAATTACCCATGTCACTTCCTTATAATTGTTCAATGAATTTGGTCAGTGAGTACAAGGTTACAATGCCACTCCAATACCTTCCTGAACAAAGGAAAGCCCTCTCCTACCCCCAGAGCCCGGAAGAGACCTCAAACAGGCAGGTAGTGTCTCCTATCCCCAGCAAAACCTGAGGCTGTACCCTTGCTTCTCTGATCAGAACCAGCCACGTAAGGCACGCAAGAACCCGAGAGAGTGAGAGCTTCTTCAAGCCTGGAGCTACTAAAGCAACCAAGTTCTCAGACATAGTCCAGAAAGACATGAACATAGCAAACCAGGTGAGTGCCCCTCCTTTCTCACAGAAAGGCAGCAAGGACACCTTCCAGTGAGTTCTTGCCACCAAACACTTCTCTAATATAACAGTTTCCTAAATTTTGTGTATGTGTGTGAATTTTGTGCACATGAGTGCAGGTGCTGATGAAGCCAGAAGAGGGTGTCAGATCCCTGGAGTTACAGTTAGGGTTTTATTGATGTGATGAGCCACTGTGATCATAGCAACTCTTATTAAAGAAAACATTTAATTGGAGAGGGTAAGAGTGGGGTTAAGTGATAAAAGTACATCTCCGATGGGAAGAATGGCAGTTGATGAAACTTGCCCCACACCACTACTCAGATCCTATGGACTCCAAGTATGCATAACAGGGGCATTGAACAAGACATCGGAAGTCAGATCACCTGCTCTTGGGCAGCTTTGTGAAACTGAACAAGAGTAGAGACAAGCTAAGAACCAGGAGGGCATGCTATTCATGTGGTAGACTGCTCTGAAGTCATTCCCTATGATGGGGAGTACTGTGCATTGATTGTCAGCCCCAGGGTAGGATTATAAGCACCTTCCAACATCATGCACTGGCATCACATCTGGCAGGGGTACCCTAACACCTTCACCAGCTCCTGCTGAGGTTCCATGATCCAGCAGGAGATCTAGCTGCCAGAGTACGGGTCCGGTGAGACAGGACACTCACAGCCCAAGTCATACAAAGCATCATTCACACAGCGAAGAAGCAACAGCTAACATATCTAGGGCCTTATCCTCTAGGATCCAAGAAGTTGTCCAAGGTAGTGGAGTCTTGCATGCACTTGGCCACTTCCCACTGCAGTCCCCAAACTCATTCTGCTCCGGGTTTCAGACCCCTGAAGATATTTGGGTCTCTGAGCTAAAACACTACAAAACATCTAGAAATGTGAGGACAGAGACTGGGCTACCCAAGACAATCTTTCTGTCGTGGGACATTGTATTTCAAGTATATGCTACAGATATCTTGAGAAATACAAGTAGGAGGGGGAGGGCTGGGTCTGCAGGGACATGTGAGGCCTTCTCTATAATGACCTTCTCTTTAGCACCAATTCTTCCCTATGTGCTACAGTATGCACTCATGAGTGTCCTCTCATTTAACCCTCCAGTGATCCACTGTGCAAAGGACATTTATAGATACACAAACTGAGACTCAGAGAAGTCATTTTTTTCCAAGGTCAAACCATACACATTGGGGATTGAGTTCAAACCTCAGATTGTCTGTCATAGTTGCTGTTCTGTTGCTATGAAAAAGACACCATGACCAAGGCAGCTTATAAAAGAAAATATTTAATTGGGGAGTTGCTTATGGTTTCTGAGGGTGAGTCTGTGATCATCATGGCAGGAAGCATGGTGGCAGACAGGCAGTCATGGCACTGGAGCAGCAGCTGAGAGCTTACATCCTGATCCGAAGGCCAGAGGCAAAGAGTGAGACTGGACTGGCAGGGGCTTTTGAAACCATAAAGCCCACCCTCAGTGACACACCTCCTCCAACAAGGCCACACCTCCTAATCCCCTCCCAAGCTGCTCTATCAACTGGGGACCAAGCATTCATTCAAATATATGGGCCTATGGAGGCCGTTCTCTTTCAAACCCACAGTATCTCATTCAAACCCCATCATCTCAACTGCTATTCCATTCTGCACCCCATCCAACCCCTGCTGCTTTGAGATTTCCCCCATGCAGATAAGTATTCTATAATGTAGACATGATCTGTTTCCTTGAGCCCTTGGTTCTGTCATGACTGATCAGAAGGGATGCACAGAAAGGAACCATCATGAACACCCAGGGCCTCTGCCCCTCCAGGCAAAGAGAAGGCCCCACTGTTTCCCTATTTCCTTATCTGGGCTCTTGTGGAACGTCTCAGCCTCAGTTACCCACTCTGCTTCCTTCCTCCCTGCCCTTCCCGCCTTTGCCCTGCAGGCCCGCTTCTCCCATGGCATGTTCACTGTATACCCAGGATTTGGCTCTATCCCTTCCGGAGGACAGCAGGTCATCACTGTGGAGTGTGTGGCTGACCCTGTGGGGAGGTGTGAAGAGTTTCTGGCCATCGATATCTCTGACCGAGACACTAGAGAAAATCCTGCTGGCATTCCTTACACTCTCCTTGCTGAAGCATGTCTGCCAGGTACTGCGACTTGGATTGGACAACACTCCTAAAAGACTGGCACTTTTGCCAGCCCTCCCTCTCCAGGAAAACCCCTCTAGAGATGTCCAGCAGTCAAGGCTGGGCTGCTTCCTCTGACAACTTAGAACCTCTTCCGGGGTCTTCGGCCATATTTGTTGTTAAAGCCTTAGCACGTATAGAAGAGACTCTGCTTCTCCAGATCCTTAGCCTTCCTGGGTCTGTTCCTGGATTCCCAGATGAGTAGTGCTGTCTGAGAAATGAGCTGGCATGGGATGTGGCCCAGGACTGAGGGGCAGACCTCAGGCCATTTCTTGTGGACATATTCAGAGAGCAATGCCCAATAAAGTGTGCTGATCGTTTAACCCAGCAAGGGCTCAGGTGAAGCTTTGGCTCTAAGCCACCTAGAGCCCCAAACCAAAATAAGCCAACTCCCTCCTCCCTCTTAAGTCCACCCAAGACCTTGGTTCTCACCAGCCCTTGCCAATGAAAGGAAAACACTAATTGAGATGTATCAACCAGAATGGACAAAAGAGGAAGCCGATAGACTTTGTCCCATCACTTACATCCCAGTGTGTGGATTGCCCAATCTGTCCTCCATGACTCTCACTTTTTATTATCATTGTTTGTATTTGCAATGCAAGGGATAGAACCCAAGGCATTCTGTATGCTAGGCAAGTACTCAGTCATTAAATGGAATACTAGCTTGTGGTTCTCCTTTGTCGAAATCCAAATATCATGGACTAGCAAGATGGTTCAGAAGGTTAAGGGTGCTTGCCACCAAACTTAACACACTCAGTACAACCCACAGAATCCACATGGTAGAAAAGAATAGACTCCTACAAGTTGTCCTATGAACTCCAAAAAGAATATGCATTCACTCACATTCATACACACACACACATACACACACACACACACACACACACACACACACACACACAC